ACCCGCTCTCATATCCTCGCTCAACTTTGTCATAGCGTGAGAAGAGCTACAATCGTCAACAGTGCCAGGACCCGCCGTGTTGCAAAATCGTGAGGGAAAACCACTGTATCACCGCTACATATACATGTGCATGAACGCCTAGCACCAGATCATCGTACTAATCATTGGTACTTACAAAAACTCTCGGAACAGTGCCCAAAACCGAGGTGAGTTGCAGATTACGGCTAAAAAATCGGAATACTCGTGCCTAAAAAATACGATCACCAATGTACTACTTCTATCAGAAGAACTAGAAGGAGCTCTTCAATTAGCAGAGATCTTCCCTCGAAATGTCTTCCCTGGCCTTGATCACGCTATGATTGCAATACTACTTTCTTTCAGGAAAAAGTCGGATCAAGGTAGAGGCTTCTATAAGTTAAATGCATCCCTCTTGAGCATTGATCGCTTCAAAGTATATCTGCAAGATGTTTGGTCCTTCTGGAGAGAGCAGAGGGAGCAAATTAGGGACGACATACAATGGTTCAACAACGGCCTGTTTTGGGACGTAAATGCAATGAATATTCATAAATGTTTGCTGAGCAACGCCATCGTGAAGAATTTGATCTGCAAAAACAACTCCACCAACTTCAAGAACAAGAAGAGAAATCGGCGGACAAACCTCAACTAACTGAGTTTAACAAAAGAATCTGCGACTTGGAGTCCAAGTTATTAAAATTCATGGAGCACCGTTGGCAAGGGATCAGAATTAGAGGTAAGTTGAAGGGTTATAACACGGAGGGGGTGATGGATGCAAGATTTTTTGCCACAGCAAAAGCCAGAACTGGCAAAACTACCATTGAAGCCTTCACGGACCCTCAAGAAAGCCAATACTCACTAGTCACATCCACAGCGGAGTGCACAAAGATAGCAAGAGACTTCTATAAAAACCTCTTTACATCAGTATGCAAACAAAAACCAAAGGAACAAAGAGTGAAAGAGATTGAAGAATTTCTTGAACCACTAACCAAAACTTTAACAAACCAACAGAAAACGATGCTTGAAAGTCCACTCACAAATGAATAAATTTGGTCTGCCCTGATGATGATGGAGGAGGAAAAAACTTCTGGGATCGATGAACTCCCAAAAGAATTTTGGGAAACCATGTGGGATTACCTTGCTCAAGATCTAATGGATTTCTACCATGCAGTCAGGGCCTCAGGCACAATGGGAGAAATAGTTGGACAAGGGGTTCTGACTCTATTGTACAAAAAAGGCGACAAAGCTAACATCCGTAATTACAGACCAATTACTCTTCTCACAGTAGTTTATAAACTGGCGGCAAAAGCACTAGCAAACCGAATACTAAAAGTCATCACGGACATCATTCATCCTACTCAAACTAGCTTCATTGAAGGAAGGAACATTCAAGACAATATTTTATTAGTTAATGAATTAGTTAAACTCTCTAGACAATCTAAGCACAATGCAACTTTCATTTTCATAGATTTTGAAAAAGCCTATGATCATGTTGATTGGTTATTTTTAGACAAATGCCTAGAAAAGTTTACCTTTGGCCCTTGTTTCAGAAGATGGATTGAAATCCTACATACTAACGCTACAACTAGGGTTATGATAAACGGTAACCTGACTCCGCCTATAGAGCTAGAACGTTCGGTGAGACAAGGGGATCCAATCGTCCCCTTTCTTTTTGTCATAGTAATGGAAGCTTTAGCAGCTAACTTAAGATGTAGCAAAGACATTAAACGTATCCAGGTTAGCTATATACCAAAAGAAGCCATACCGGTCTGTTCCTTGTTTGCAGACGACCTATCCTTGATGGTTAAAGCCTCGCACGAAAATCTGTTAGCAATCAAGGGTCTGATGGATAAATTTTGCGCCCTTTCTGATATGAAAATCAATTGGGGAACAAAAACTCAAGGCTGGTGGATACACCATCAGGGGGTGAGACCTCCGGAATATCCAAATATCAGCTGGTTGACAGCAGAGACCCCAATCAGGGTGCTTGGAATCTCACTCTCAGCAAATGGAAAACCAACAGGAAACAACAAATGAATATCTACATCAGCTTTGGCCAAATTGGAACTTTGGAAGGACAAACGAACGTCTATTATAGGACGTTCACTAATCATAAATAATGTTATTCTAGCCTCACTCTGGTACAAGTCAGCAATATGACCACTGGACAAATCAGCGCTTAAACTTCTGCAAAGACAAATAACAGCCTATCTATGGAGAGGTAATCATGACTTAAAAAATGTCATAAATAGATTTGTCTGGCAAGGAGTTATTCAGCCTAAAACAAAAGGAGGGTTAGGAATCTTAGACCCTTCCACTCAAGCCATGACGTTCTCATTCCAATGGATCAAAAGATTACTTTTCAACCTAGAGACTCCTTGGACAGCCCTAGTTGAGGAACAAATAGCGAGATTAACCCCTGAAGTCCCAGAAGGGACAGATCCATTGATATGGTTAGGAAATCGTCACTGGTCCATTCCAAAAGGTAGAACTCAGCCCTCAAGCCTGCCAGAGAACCCAAATCGTCAAGCCACAAAAATAGACATTAAAAATGATCCCTTTTGGCCTGACCTCCTTAAGACCTGGCGCAAACTACCCTTACCAGATAAAATCCCTCCAAACTGTTGGGAGGAGGTCTGTCAACAACCTCTTTTCAACAACAGATGGTTGACTGATTCACAAGGAAGGATGTTCCATTGTATGGATTCCCCCTGGAGAGGATGGGTAAAAAAAAGGGTCCTAAGGATTGGGGACATCTGGAACCCAGAAACGCGAGACTGGTACTTTTTTTCTGATCTCTTGCCTAACTTGCGATACTGCAGGAGAACAGAAAAATCACTAGACACAATCACAGAAGCCATCCCGATAGATTGGATAAGAATCCTCAGAAAAGGTCCCCAACTTAAAGAAAGTGATTGGGTGGGCATCCAAGGGAATTCCCAACAAATAGGAAATGTAGTATTAGTAAATGATGAGGGATCAGTCTTGCTCTCCTTATTCTCAATCAATCACAAATACCGGCTCACTGAAAGTCAAACTAAGGAAACTGAATGGTTCAATGTTGACCAAGTATTCAGGATCAGAGTTCTGAAATACAAAGACCACTGAATGACCTTCAAACCATCATGTGCAATCAACAAATTGGCTCGAGATCCCATTTATTGGTCTTGGACCGTCCCTTTGGGCAAACATAGAAGGGCACTCGCACTATTCACTCACTGACAGTCAGATCAACGTACCGCATGTTGAGGCTTACACTGGAATTGAAAGATAGAATAGAAACCAGGTGGATGAAACAGCTAAATGTAAGCAAGGATGATCTGAGACGTATTAAGTGGTTCAAACTATTGAGATTAAACCGACAAAAATTGTCTCCCTACAGTGGCAAATCGACCATCGATGCCTTCCCACGAATGATTGGCTAATAAATAGGACCTCGCTGGAAGAGAAGGGTATCGCTCTACCTTGGTGCAAGCTATGCTTCTCAGCATTACCATCTAGGACCATTCCAGAAACCATCGAGCACATCTTTCTTCAATGCCCAGGTTCAGTTTGGTTATGGCGTTGGTGGGACAGGATTTGGAGTTCTTTTAATACACCCATGAACTGGCCCTGGGATTGGCGAGCTCTGTTATGCGAGACATGGTCTCCAGACCAATTAGATGATTTCTCCCAAAACCTATTTATAACCGGAAGAAGAGTCATTCTCTGGGCCCTCTGGCAACGGTGCTGTACTTTTGAAAGGGAGGGTGCCAGGCTGGATGGTCCAGACTTTACGGAGTCCATTAAACTACAGGTGCAAACTGTTATCACAGCTCAATGGGACAAAGTGAAAGAAAAAATTCAATTTCTGATGAATAAAAAAGAAATCCAACAACACATCAAATCATTCAGTGGCGCTTGGCTCGGAGGATCTCAAGGAGGTACGATTGGAAAGATCAAAGAAAGTGGGGTGAGGAGAGAGAACAAAGAAGAGCATAGCAAAGGAATTCAAAAAGACTACCACCTGATATTCCATGATTGGACAAATGTGGATCCAACAGTACCACTTCGCCCTCTTTCAGAGTTCCCAGATCCCTTTCCACCCTCATCATTATCCCTAGTCCCCATAAGTTGGTTCGGATACGGAAGAGGAGAATAATTGTATGTTGTAACCAGCTAAATAAAATTGTTGTTTCTGGTGAACAGACAAGGCCGAAGAGGCTGATTTTTGTGGTGGACTAGAAGGGTAGTAGAACTATAGGAAGGGCGGTTTTCAGGGTGACAGGAGAA